CACTTGTCATTTTGTATATTTTGACAAGTCACCGTCGAGAATTGTATCGGAATAAATATATGTATTTATTAAACGTTTCTGAGTTTTGAGTGTGAAAATAATTTATGATAAGAAGTATTTCTTGTATAATGAGGTTTTACGTGATGTAAGTTTAAATTTGTGGAGGTTTGATATAGGTCCTGAATCGAATAAAAAACAAAATAATAATTTGAAGAAGGTGTGTTTTACCATTAAGGGATGAATGAGTAAGTGCATGAGCTTAAGAATTAACTTCTTAAATAGTCTTATCATGAAGAGATAAATTAAAATCTTTTCATTATTATTTAGGCGTGTAAAATAATAAATTCATTTTCATTTGTTGTATACTCTTTTTGTACAGAATTGTTTGTCATGTTGCGTTTATCGAAAGTTAGTTTGACTAATCCAGAATTGTTTGTCATATTGTGCTTATCGAACGTCAATTTGACTAATTTTTAAAGGTAAATTAGATCACATTAATTCGATATTTTAAACAAAAAAATAGATATTCTAAAACTACATAAAAAGTACTATAAATTATAATTTTTTGCATATTAATATGATGAAAAAATACATCTTAAAATGTTAGTCAAAATTTTTATAATGTAACTCTAAAAATAAAAATCATGATAAATAATTTCGGACGAGGGGAATAGTAAATTACACTTGCAAAAAATACACTTTTCTTATAAATGTGTTCATTTTGTACCTTTTAACATTTTCAAAGTTGTTATTGTACAAAGTAAAATAATTATAGTTTTTTACTTCACAAAATATAATTGCACTTCATTGTAGCCTTTTCATTTTTAAAAATAAATCTTCCGTCTTTTTCATTGATATTAGATAAATCATATTAAAATTTGATTAAATATATATTCACGGATCCATTACTCAAAGCAAACACTCTCCTCTTTCAAATAGGAGTAACATTTATATAAATTGATCATTTTCAAGAGAATAAATTGATGAATTTCAAGTTTAAATTTTTAGTTTTATTCAAATTATTTTCAATTAAAATTTTATAATACTTTTTATTTTTAGAGAAAAAAAAGCATATGTGCTAAAATACAACTTTTAAATTCTAACAAAATTGATGAACTCAAACAAAGAGTTTTGTGTCATTTTGCAACAAGTGGGGTAACTTGTATTCATGTGCAATCTAAAATCAATGTCTTTTTTCTATTTTCCATGACTTTATTCAAATGACTTCTCCTTTATCTCCTTTCTAAGTTTATGAGCTTCGGATATTAATCAAGATTTTATCGAAAATAATTTTATTATTAATTTATATATATATATTACTCTCTTTGTATTTTATTTGTTTGATTGAATAGTGCTTTGTGAATGTCATATAATTAATTTTCTGTTTCAATTTATTTATCTTATTTTTTTCAATTTTATTCTAAAAGATTCTTATCTTCTTCAATTTAATAATTTTTTAATATTAACTTTTCACGTGACACATTTAAGATAATAATATTTAAAAACTTTATTTTCTTTGTCATATTTTACGTGACATCCTTTTACTTTTTAGTTTGTCCGAAATAAGATGTCACTTTATATCTTTGATAAATAATTTTCAGACACATAGATATCTAAGAGTTAATTTAAATAATGAATTTTAAAAGTCTGCCTTTTTTCTTTTAAATACCTTGTTAAATTAAAAAATGCAACATAAAATAATAAGACAAAGAAAATATTTATTTTTTCAACTTACATGTTAAAAACATAAAAAAAATATTAAATTTTAATGAAGAAAACAAATAAAATGTTAACTGTTGATTTGAAAGGACAGATCATATAAAGAGACAAATACTTTTATGTAAGCATTACGTTTTAGCCTATCAAAAAATACTCAATTGCATCACGCGTCTTTAGAGCGTGTGCATCGCACTTGTCTCATCCCGAGGCTACCGATACATCGATATTCACTTTGGAGTCCGAATTATTTTACTCGAGTTTGAGAGATATCATATTTGAATCAGACAAATTGAATAGATTACGAAAGATTCGCGTCTCTAGTTAACAAAGTTCTAAAATTATAAGTTTGTTGATCTCTGTTTTTGAACTCGACTCATTCCTCTTTTAGAGATATTAAATTTAAATCCAAAAGATTGAACGGATTACGAATATATCTGAACCTCAAATTATAATATTTATATTCTGAATACATCTCTATTAAAGGTTCTTTTCTTTTATGTGAACTATCAAAGACGCATATGTTTTAGTTCTTTTGTTTCAATTTATGTAACGTAATGCAGATTTTAAAAATTAATAATTTTTATTTCAATCATGAATTTAAGCATGAAGTCTTGATATATTACAATAATTCATAATTTAAGATATGTATAAAAGAAATACGATAAAAAAATTTTTTGTATATTAAATTTTATAACATGTCACGTAAATTAAAGCCGAAAAATCATATGATTTTTACGAGGGTAAAAAGATTTTTAATCACTAACATGATGCAATTTGTACTGAATAAATATACTGACAAAGTGAAAACTGTTAATTTTATGTCATTAACTTTTTACTGTACTTTACATTTTTTTTAACCAGGGTTAATTTTGTCCAAAAGTCAGTATAACTGTTCTCACGAGAAGTACACTTTCAGTAAAAAGACTGTGTCCCTTGTTTCTCGCGTTTTTATACGATATTTTATCAATCAAACAAAATTATTATTTTTTCCGTTTAAATTTACCTGATATAATTTAACCAGACATGATTTTATAAAATATATATTTATTTTTTAAATATTTAAAAATTATTATTAAAAGTTACATAGATATTTGCTAAACAAGAAAATTTATTTCTTTATTAGCAATTGAGTTTAAAAGAAAATGTATCATATAAAATCAAGATGGAAGGAGTAATTAAACACATTTCTTTAACATTGTAAATAGGAAGAGTAATTTTATTTTATCACTTTTCTATATAATAAATAAAACGTCACGAAAAATTGTGATCGAAAAATAATTATAATTAATGATAGGATAAATTAAAAACTAAGTGTAAAATTATCTTATTAATTTTATAGATAACTATTATTAGACGGAGGAAGTATTTTTTACTTGTCATATTAGTTGATTAGTATATTAAAAATATTTTTTTTTATATTAGGTGATCACTTCTACATCGTCAAAAAATAATTTATTGATTTTTTATTTATTACTTCGCAATTTTTTTTAAAAGTGTTTACATTTTTCTGTGAAATTTCTAAAGAAGTTTTTTAAGGATGAGTTAATAATGTTATCTCTTTATCTGTGATCTCTTAAGCATCATGCAAAATAATGATCAATTAATATGAAATTGAAAAAATACTACTAAAATTAAATCGTATTAAGAGATCGTTAAATGAACTAGATAGGATAAATTAGACTATATCATCGAAATATCTAATTCAACTATTAGTACGTGTTATAGGAATAATTGTTCCAAAATATTTTTTTTATATTTGATTTAAGCGATTAATTATTAATTTTGAGACTAACTTATTCAAATATTTATACTAAAAATGTGACATTATTATCTCATATATTCACTTTATTCAATAATAATTATCTACTGTTAACTTGGTACATTCCTCAAAAAATGACAAATAATATGTATAAATTCAAAGGTGAAATAACTAATTTTATTCCAAAATTATTGTCCTTTTTATCTTACCAATTAAATTAATGACATTACAATTTACATATACAACACATGCCTCATTTATAGAGTTAAAGAAAAAACTCAAACTAATTCACGTCTAATTTAAAATTTATTATTTTTTTCTCAATTAAACAAATATTCCGTATTAGGAAAAAAAAGTATGATATACAATAAAACCTCTATAAATTAATAAAGGTCGGATCATGAAATTTTATTATTTTATAGAGATATTATTTAATTGATAATTTAGTATTTATTAATTAAAAAATAATTTGAAATTTAGTGAAGGTTAGTTTTAGATATATCAAAATCATTATATCTTATTAATTTATGTATCATATTTATTGATTTCACATTTTTTTAAAAGTGTACATAAAGTACAACGAATACATCAAAATCATTGTATCTTACTAACTCCAACCTCGTGATGTTGGGATAATAAGAACTTTCAAGATGTATTATCGAACATATTTTATTTAGGATATTAGAAGATTATGAAGTGGGAGAAACTAATCCTAGAAAGATTATTGGTTTGGTTGCTATTGATTTTGCAATCCCTGTTTGTATAACAAATATATCTAAAGACGATAGGAAGTTATTTTCGATATTATATAATTCATTTGGGATGTAATCTCAAAGAATTTAAATGAATCTACTTGTGAAAATGTTATTCATGAACTTGAGGTTATTGACGAATAATATCGAATACTAAAATAAAATGGATGTCAATTATCCGGGTGAAAGTGATACATGTTCAGAGGTCCAGAGCTTAAAAGAAATTGCGAATATCATCGGAAAAATCAATGTTAATGATGAAGTTGGAGATGATACTATATCTTGGGAACCAATTACGCATAAGGAAACACTTATCGCATTTAAAACTCTTCACGTTTTATGGTGCAATTCGAAAAGACAACACTACAGCTCTTGGATGCAATAAAAACAGTTAGAGATGAGCTTCAACTACATTTAAATTTTAAGAGAAAACAGAACACTATAAAATCGCATTTCACTAAATTATCTTAAATATAGTTTGTACTTTTAAAGAATTATTAATTTATCATATTAGCAAGACCATATATTTATATAAGGGTCTTCTGAAAATATATTATCTTATTATCTTATCAAAATTGATGATTTTTTCCATTGATCAAAGTCGGAATTGGAAGAAAATATTATTTTAAAAAGATTATTAATTTATCGAATATTAATTTACAAAAGTTTTACTATAATCTGATTATTTTAAATTTTACGATCCAAATTTATAATCTATATATCACACGAAGATAAAGACATTAATATATATATGTATCGAAAATTGGTTATGCCGAAAACCATGTCGTTTCTTCTGATGTCTCATCTTAAAATTAACTTGCTATACTTGGCAGTATAATAAGTACTACGTCTTCTAGTAGTGAAGTTCACATTTTTTTTATTTTGTCGCCAAGCAAAACGGCACCGGCGACGGAGACGGCGACGGTAACGGTGACTGATGAGTTAAAGGAGTGAGATTGTACTGCCGGATTGTGAGAACTAACTAGTGTATATTCCGTCAACTAATAACGCCGGCCGACCGGCGATTCATTTACTGATCTCGTACTTGTAGAGGATGTTGCTAACGTCATTAACTTGCAACGATCCAAGTTTCCGGTGTTGTTTTGTGTGAATCATCTCGTTTTGGCTTCGATCGGAGAAGAAACTGTACGGATATTGACATTCACTTTAATGCATTTATGTTAAATATATATAGGTAGTACTCGCTCTGTAAATGTGTTTTTTGAAGCTGAAAAGCCTGTAATCGGAAGTTTTTCTTTCGACTTTTTTCTTTTTGCGGATATTGATTGATTGATATAAGTAGAAAGAAGGAAGTCAGAAGCTACTGCTTTCCGTTTTAGGATTTGATTGAAGAGGAGAGTATTGATGATTAGTTTTTTTTTTTCAATTTTTGAGGTTTAATATCAGTTTTCATAATCGGAAATTTTCAGTTTCATTTTGAAAATCGGTACTAATCTTCATCAGATCCATATTTTGCTTGCCTGTAAATGTGTTTCACTATTAGTTTTTCTGTTCTCTGAACCTATTAATAGGATTTTTTTGGTTGAAATTTCTAGTTTCTGTGCTTTTTATCCTCATTTCTGGACCTTTTGATTGAACTTGTTGAGCGTAGTTTTCTCCATTGTTGTTCAGCTTCAAAAATAGTGTATATTTGGTGAATCGGTCAACGATTTCGGAGAGTCTGAGCAAGATGGATTTGCTCTGCTGCTTGTAATTGTTGTTGAAATTTACTGGTTTTTGACTTTTTGTAGTTATTTTCTAATTTTTTTTGTACCTTCTACTTGTATATCTTGTCTAAATTTATTGGTTTCTGCACGTGTTTTCTCATTATTGGATCTTTTTACTTTGAATTTATTACTGAAATTTGTTTCATTTGTGGTACACAGCTTTTAAGCTTTTCTGGAATTGCTGTTCTGTAATTGTTTTCAACTAAGGAGAAGGGGAAAAACTATTGGATTAGCGAAATGAAGGAGGTTTTGGAGAAGTGTGTGGATTCACAGCTATGGCACGCCTGTGCAGGAGGAATGGTGCAAATCCCTCCGGTTAACTCCAAAGTCTACTATTTTCCACAAGGGCATGCTGAGCATACTCTTATGAATGTGGATTTCTCAGCTCTACCAAGAAGTCCTGCTCTGATTCTATGCAGAGTAGCTGCTGTGAAGTTCTTAGCGGACCCTGAAACAGATGAGGTTTATGCTAAGATTAGGGTTGTCCCAGTTGGGAACAAGGGGAATGACTTTGATGATGATGATGACATTTTGGGTAGTAATGAGTCAGGAACAGCTGAAAAACCCAATTCATTTGCCAAGACATTGACTCAATCAGATGCAAATAATGGTGGTGGATTCTCTGTGCCTAGATACTGTGCAGAGACAATATTTCCTAGGTTGGATTACACGGCTGACCCGCCTGTGCAGACCGTGACAGCCAAAGATGTTCATGGTGAAAGTTGGAAGTTTAGGCACATTTATAGAGGTACTCCCAGGAGGCATTTGTTAACGACTGGTTGGAGTAGTTTTGTGAATCAGAAGAAACTTGTTGCTGGAGATTCCATTGTGTTTTTGAGGGCAGAAAATGGTGAACTTTGTGTTGGAATTCGTAGGGCGAAAAGAGGTGGTATTGGTGGGCCTGAAGCCCCATCTGGATGGAACTCTGGTGCTGGAAATTATGGTGGATTTTCTGCGTTTTTGAGGGAAGAGATGAGCAAAAATGGAAATTTGACTTCTCCTACTAGGAGCTTAAGGGGAAAGGGAAGGGTGAGGCCTGAATCAGTTGTTGAAGCTGCATATCTTGCTTCTAGTGGGCAGCCTTTTGAAGTTGTTTATTATCCCCGTGCAAACACACCAGAATTTTGTGTTAGGGCATCTTCAGTGAATGCTGCAATGAGGATTCAATGGTGCTCAGGAATGAGGTTCAAAATGGCTTTTGAAACTGAGGATTCTTCTCGAATCAGTTGGTTCATGGGAACTATATCCTCCATTCAACTTGCTGATCCCATCCGCTGGCCCAATTCGCCATGGAGGCTTCTTCAGGTAATGCAGCTATTTTCAGCTTTCTATTTGGGGCCAAAGTTTGTGTTGTCTATTAATGTGTCAATTACCTGGCCATTGTTCTGATATTCTTTGTATCAGCTCTTTAGTTGATTGGTGAATATCTTATAGCGAGTTAATAGTCCTCCAATATTATTTTGACCTACATTCCATATTTCTAAGGTGTAGTGAGATTTCATTGTTGCATTGCTAAACTGCATGGACACTGTTCAACTTTCTAAGGGCTTTTCCAAGGTTTAAAGCAAGTCACAGTATGTAGGTTGATTGTTTGACCATTTCAATGTCTGAGTATGTTTAGGATTTATGTCATGTTCCGGTTATGCTCATATTACTCGTAACCAGCCCACTAACAGGAAAAATCTGATGTTTCCTTTTTCATGATTATGAAGTGTAGATAAACACATTTCCTTCTATTGCAAGGTCATTCGATAAATAGTCCACCTTACTTTTTCTTGTTTCTCTATAATTTTCAAGGGTTTACTTTCTTTCTCTGTCCATCATTGTTTTCTTGGGAATAAGGGTTATAAGTTTTTGGGATCTGTCCAAGAGATGTACTCTTCATCTTGTGTCATATTGGGAACTTCAGAAGAAATGACTCGGTATTTCATTGGCAAACTATGGCATAAAATAGATGTTACATTTTTTCTTTCATACAACTACTTTGATGCCCTCAAGATATAAAAATGCAATATGCAGTTGCGGCTCTGCTCACCTTTTAGTCTAAGTTTAGGGTGGTAAAACTTTTCTCCATGTTCTGCAGGTGGCATGGGATGAACCTGATTTATTGCAAAACGTAAAACATGTCAGCCCATGGCTTGTCGAATTGGTCTCAAATATGCCAGTCATTCACCTCTCGCCCTTCTCACCGCCAAGAAAAAAGCTGCGTCTACCACCAGATTTCTCACTTGACAGCCAGTTTCAGTTACCATCTTTTTCAGGCAACCCCCTCAGGTCCAGCAGTCCTTTCTGTTGTTTATCTGACAACATCACTGCAGGCATACAGGGAGCCAGGCATGCTCAATTTGGAGTACCTTTATTGGATCTTCACCTTAGCAACAAATTACCGTCAGGACTGTTACCACCAAGTTTCCAGCGCGTTGCAGCCAACTCACAACTTCCTAATGTCATCAATAAGTGCCAAAATGACAGAAATGATAACATCTCTTGTTTGCTTACAATGGGTACTTCAAGTAAGACATTGGACAAAAATGATAGTGTGAATACACCTCGGTTCTTACTCTTCGGTCAGCCAATTCTGACTGAGCAACAAATCTCTAATGGATGTTCTGTCAGTGCTCCACAAGTAGTCCAAACAGGGAAAGACTTAGGAAGGATACAACCGATCAACGAAAAACATCCTTCTGAGCAGAAAGGCAGCATTCAAGACAATCTATCAAGTGCAACATTTTTCTGGAATCGAGGTTATCATGCAGCTGAACTTGGTGTACTCAATACTGGTCACTGCAAAGTATTCCTCGAGTCAGAAGATGTTGGCCGTACACTTGATCTGTCAGTTATGGGATCATATGAAGAACTGTACAAAAGACTTGCAAACATGTTTGGACTTGAAAGACCAGATATGCTGACCCGTGTGCTCTATCATGATGCAACAGGTGCTGTTAAACACACCGGAGATGAACCATTCAGGTGCCTTGTTTTTTCCAGTACCTTCTGCTTTTGATTATTTTTCCAGTGAAAATGGTCGTGTATACGTGCGTGTGTGAAGCACACATTGTTTATTTAAAGTTTAATGAACCTTTCTCTCGGACTTGTTTAATTTTGCAGTGACTTTGTTAAGAGTGCAAAAAGATTGACAATTCTGATGAACTCAAGCAGCAATATTAAAAGGTAATTGTCAACCATACTCTTCCTTGATAGCTAAGTCCTTAAAACCGGAAAGTATGATAATTTTCAAAATAAATGTTCCGTATTTGCCACCTTTTGATTTCTTTTAACCTTGTATATCAGGAAATGGTTAACTGGTCTCGCAACTGCTGAACGTGGTCTAGATTCATCAAACCAGGCAGGACCTCTTAGCATCTTTGCATAGCCTCTGTGTGTATAAGTACTTTTCTCGTTCTTTTGTTTTTCGTAACGACTGCTTCACTGCTAGTACTAAAGAACACTATCAGTGAAAATATTATGTTTGTTTCTGTATGGATATTTTGAGTTGCTCTTTGTGTTGAAAACATTCAATGTGCTTTCTTTAACAGTCTGTGGTGCTGTTGTTGGTGTTTTTACTCTGAAAGGACATGAATATGTGAGCCTCCCCCCCCCCCCCCCCCCACCACACACAACCACGATGCCCTATCGTTGCATGCTTTATTGTTGAATTGTATGATCTTCTCATCAGATAAGAGTCGATCCTCGTGATTGAGTTTGCTTCTTTTTCATGAATCAACTACATTTACATTCATACTATGTTATATTTTGTGATTTTTATTTAGCAAGGTGTAACTTCATTTAAAATGTTAAATGTTTCAATTAGGAAACTAAGAGCAACTATTTTTTGGTCATATGTTTTCATTTATATGTGACATGTTTGCATCTTAGTATTAACATTCTAATATCTTATTGTCCATAGTACTTGGCATGTCAATATTTAATTCTCTATTTTAATGATCAATCACATATTGGAAAAATGACCAGGAACTATGTGTGGAAATAAATGAATGGTCTAGAAGCAAATAGAGTAAAGACATTCATTTCTCACCTACTTTTGTCTCCTTTAAATACTTATATTAACGTGAACTTTGTTCCTTTTTAACTTTTTTTTTTAATCAAAAGGAACAAATTAATCTAACTTCGAGGAACTATCAAAAATAATTTTTTTATTTCATAAAAATAGACATAATATTTATAAATATCCTATTTTCTTCAAATTTCACTTGTGAGATTTACACTTTATATCTATAAAATGTGTAACTAACAAATGATGGTATTAGTAATAGATGTCCTATTAGTACATGGATAAGCATTGATTAAGATGTAACTATCTGTAATCAAATTAAATAATGCATAAGAAATAATATCTAACGTAATTAGTTTCAGTATTACTCATAAAACTTAATCCAATATTATTCTTATAAGATCTATCAAATAACCTCATCAACTAATTTACCAAACAACAAAACAACAATTGAAGCATTGCTTGCCAACCCAATTATGGTTAGGTTTTCATCAAATCAAATGTGATTTCTAATTTAGAGTGAGATGATGACATGAATAAAACCCCTTTTAACATCATAATAATCAAGCAACATATGTGTCTTTGCTACACAGATTCAGTATTAGAACTTTACGACAGTTGATTTAAAAAAAAATATTGATTTTATTTTATTTTTATAATTCGTATTTTATACATATATTATATTCGACATAAGCAATATGTTGAGTTTTAATTAACTTGCTATTGTGCCTTTCATAAGTATGTTTATCACTTAATCATAATTAAGAAATATATTAATTTTCAATTTATTTAAAGCAATTTTTAATTTTAACTTATATTTGAAATGTTTAAGACCCCCTATTAAATAGTATCTTGATATATTCGACATATTATCAACTAAAATCAATAGACTTTTGAGTTTAAGGTCTTTTAAAAATAATCTCTCTACTTTCACGAGATAGTAATAAGGTTCGCATTTAATCTACTCTCTCAAGACCACAACTAGTGAAATTTCATGGAATATGTTATTATCAATCCAAAATATTCGAAAACTTTTTTTTCTTCTTAAAATTATATCAAGTTAAAATAAAACGAATAAATTAAAACAGATAGATTAATAAAGTATTCATTTGACTAGAGGCACTTTGGTAAAAGTATTCATTGAAGTTTTCACGTGGGGTTTCCATTGACATCGCCGTATTGATGGGTGAGTTTCATTTATGTCTAAACTTTCATTAATGGCTTTATTTGACTACAAACACTTTGGTAAAAGTATTCATTAATCCCATTGAAATGTGGATTAAAATAATTCTTTGTGATGAAATTAATGCATCACGTTAATTAATACTACTATAATTATAATAATTTTGAACAATTTTATTACTAATCCCAATAAGTGGAACATTGAATATAATGGGTCATTAATGCTTTAGCACAAATACATAGATAACTTATTCTAAAAGAAATCAAACAACTTTAGCCTAGTACTACAAGTAATAAATAACATTATTTGTTCATGTTTACTAGATGTATTGAATATTTTAAAGTTCATCATGATAGATAAATAATTAGAAGAATCATAATTTCTTCTTAATAAGTATTTTCGATATACAATTATAATGTATGTTAATTTTTTTTGAAATTTAGAGGTTATGAGCCATGAATTCAAAATTTTGATAGTTGTCTCTATAGATATATATATGTTAATTTTTTCCGAATATGTTTGAGGAATTTCTATTTTGACCTCCATTTTTTTGGAGTTTCAAGATCATGAAGCACATACTCATGATCACATGTGTTGGAGTTTATTGTACTTAGAATTTTGATAATCAGAATTTCGACGTAAAATTTGTCGAAAATTTATATGGACGTCCCTTAAGACCTTATATATGGAGTTAGTAGGTCACCACAGCTAAAATGATCCATTTTAGAGGTCAAATGAGCTTAGAGCAGGTAAATCCCTATTTTACCAATTTTCGTGTACTATAGTACATGAGAATTTTGGTGATCCAAAATTCCAATATGATTTTTGCCCAAAATTTACATGCACTTTTGTTAAGACTTTATCTATGCAGTCAGTTAATCACAACTACAAAAAATAATCCATTTTCAAGGTAAAACAAGCCCAGAGCAAGTAAACCCCCATCTTGCCAATTTTCGTGCGCTATAGTCCATGGAATTTTTGATGATCCGACATTCGACGGGATTTTTATCGAAATTTACATGAAAGTTTTTTAAGACCTTATCTATGGAGTCAGTTAGTCACCACGACAAAAACGTATTTTCAAGGTTAAACGAGCCCGGAGAATGTAAATCCTCTATATTGTCAATTTTCATGTGCTATAGTCCACCGTCTTTTTTGGTGATTCGAAATTTCAACGTTATTTTTGCCAAAAATTTATATGAACATCCATTAAGACTTTAGTTATGGAGTTAGTTGGTCACCACAACCAAAACGATCCATTTTAGAGGTCAAACGAGCTTAGAGCAGGTAAACCCCCATTTTGCCGATTTTCGTGTACTATAGTAAATGAGAATTTTGCTGATCCAGAATTCCAATATGATTTTTGCCCAAAATTTACATGCGCTTTCGTTAAGACTTTATCTATGCAGTTAGTTAATCACCACGACAAAAATAATCCATTTTCAAGGTCAAACGAGCCTAGAGTAGGTAAACCTCATCTTACCAATTTTCGTGTGCTATAGCCCATGAGATTTTTGGTAATCCAACATTCGATGTGATTTTTGTCAAAAATTTACATAGAAGTTTGTGAAGACCTTATCTATGGGGCCAATTAGTAACCACGACAAAAACAACCCATTTTCAAGGTCAAACGAGTCCAGAGCATGTAAACCCTCTATATTGTCAATTTTCGTATTCTATAGTCCACAATCTTTATTGGTGATTCGACATTTCAACGTCATTTTGCGAAAAATTTATATGAACGTCCATTAAGACCTTAGTTATGGAGTCAGTTGGTCACCACGATCAAAATGATCCATTTTAGAGGTTAAACGAGCCCAGAGCAGATAAACCTCCATTTTACCAATTTTCTTGTGCTATAGTAAATGTTGATTTTGGTGATCCGATTCCAATATGATTTTTGCCGAAAATTTACATACACATTCGTTAAGACTTTATCTATTGAGATAGTTAGTCACATGGACAAAAATAATCCATTTTCAAGTTCAAACGAGCCCAGAGCAAGTAAATCCCCATTTTGCCAATTTTCGTGTGCCCATAGAATTTTTGGTGATCCGACATTCGACGTAATTTTTTGTCAAAAATTTGCATGGAAGTTTGTTAAGAGCTTATCTATGGAGCTCGTTAGTCACCACGACAAAAACAACCCATTTTCAAGGTCAAACGAGCCCAGAGCATGTAAACCCTCTATATTGTCAATTTTCGTATGCTATAGTCTACCATTTTTTTGGTGATTCGAAATTTCGACGTTATTTTAGTTAAAAATTTAGATGAACGTCCGTTCAGACCTTAGTTATGGAGTCAGTTGGTCACCACAGCCCAAACGATCCATTTTAGAGGTCAAACGAGCCCAGAGTTGGTAAACCACATTTTGCCAATTTTCGTGTGCTATAGTAAATATTATTTTTGGTGATCCAGAATTCCAATATGATTTTTGCCAAAAATTTACATGCACGTTCTTTAAGACTTTATCTATGATGCCAGTTAGTCACCACGGCAAAAATAATCCATTTTTAAGGTCAAACGAGCCCAGAGCAGGTAAACTCCCATCTTGTCATTTTTCAAGTACTATAGTCCATGGGATTTTTGGTGATCTGACATTCGACGTGATTTTTATCAAAAATTTACATGGAATTTTGTTAAGACCTTATCTATTGAGTCAGTTTGTCACCACGGCAAAAACAATTTATTTTCAAGGTCAAACGAGTCCAGAGTATGTAAACCCTCTATCTTGTAAATTTTCGGATGCTATAGTCTACCATTTTTTTTGGTGACTCAAATTTTGATGTCATTTTTGCTAAAAATTTATATGAACATCCATTACGATCTTAGTTATGGATTTAGTTGGTCAACACTACCAAAACGACCTATTTTAAAGGTCAAACGAGCTCAGAGCAGGTAAATCCCCATTTCTCTGATTATCGTGTGCTATACATGAGAATTTTGGTTATCCAGAATTCCAATATGATTTTTGCCGAAAATATACATGCACGTTCATTAAGACTTTATCTATGGATCCAGTTAGTCATCATGGCAAAAAAAATTCATTTTTAAGGTCAAACGAGTCGAGAGCAGGTAAACCCATATCTTGCCAATTTTCATGTGCTATAGTCCATGTGATTTTTGGTGATCCGGCATTCAACGTGATTTTTGTCGAAAATTTATATGGAAGTTTATTATGACCTTATCTATGGAGACAGTTAGTCACCACGGCAAAATTAACCTATTTTCAAGGTCAAACGATCCCAGAGCATGTAAACCTCAATTTTCATGTGTTATAGTTCACCATCTTTTTTGGTGATTCAAAATTTCAATGTCATTTTTGCCAAAAAATTATATGAACGTTCATTAAGACCTTAGTTATGGAGTCAATTGGTCACCACGGTCAAAACGACCCAATTTAGAGGTCAAACGAGCCCAAAGGTGGTAAGTCCCCATTTTGCCGATTTTCGTGTGCCATAGTAAATGTCGATTTTGGTGATTCAGAATTACAATATGATTTTTGCCGAAAAAATTTATACGCATGTTGGTTAAGACTTTATTTATAAAGCCAGTTAGTCACCACGGGAAAAACAATCCATTTTCAAGGTCAAACGAGCCCAGAGCAGTTAAACCTCCATCTTGCAATTTTCATGTGCTATAGTACATAGAATTTTTAGTGATCCGACATTCAACGTAATTTTGTCAAAAATTAACATGGAAGTTTTTAAGACCTTATCTGTGTAGCTAGTTAGTCACCAAGGCAAAAACAACCTATTTTCAAGGTCAAACGAGCCTAAAGCATATAAACCCTATATATTGTCAATTTTCGTGTGTTATAGTTCACCATCTTTTTTGGTGATTCAAAATTTCAAAGTCATTTTTGCCAAAAATTTATATGAACGTTCATTAAGACCTTAGTTATGGAGTTAGTTGGTCACCACGGCCAAAACGATCCAATTTAGAGGTCAAACTAGCATAGAGTTGGTAAGCTCCATCGTGTGCTATATAGTAAATGTTGATTTTAGTGATCTAAAATTCCAATATGATTTTTGCCGAATATTTACATGCACGTTCGTTAAGACTTTATCTATGTAGCCAGTTAGTCACCACGGCAAAAACAATTCATTTTCAAGTTCAAAGGAGCCTAGAGCAGGTAAACCCCCATCTTGCTAATTTTCGTGTGCTATAGTCCATGAAATTTTTGGTGATCCGACATTCGACGTAATTTTTGTCGAAAATTTACATGCAAGTTTGTTGTGACCATATCTATGGATCCATTTAGACATCACGGCAAAAATTAACCTATTTTCAAGGTCAAACGAGTCCAGAAAATATAAACGCTCTATATTGTCAAATTTCGTATGCTATATTCCAACATCTTTTTTGGTAATTCGAAATTTCGACGTCATTTTAGCTAAAAATTTATATGAACGTCCATTAAGACCTTAGTTATGTAATCAGTTGGTCACGACGGCCAAAATGATCCATTTTAGAGGTCAAACGAGCTCAGAGTTGGTAAACCCCCATTTTGCCAATTTTTCGTATGCTATAATAGTACATGAGAATTTTGGTGATTCAGAATTCCAATATGATTTTTGCCGAAAATTTACATACACGTTGGTTAAGACTTTATCTATGGAGCCAGTTAGTCACCACGACAAAAACAATCCATTTCAAGGTTAAAATGAGACCAAAGCAGGTAAACCCCCATCTTGCCAATTTTTGTGTGCTATAGTCCAAGGAATTTTCGGTGATCCAACATTCGACGTGATTTTTGTCAAAAATTTACATGGAAGTTTGTTATGACCTTATCTATGGAGTCAGTTAGTCACCACGGTAAAAACAATCAATTTTCAAGGTCAAACGAACCCAGAGAATGTAAACACTCTCTATTGTCAAATTTAGTGTGCTATAGTCCAACATCTTTTTTGGTGATTCAAAATTTCGACGTTATTTTTGCTAAAAATTTATATGAACGTCCATTAAGACCTTAGTTACATAGTCAGTTGGTCAAGATGGCCAAAACGATTCATTTTAGAGGTCAAACGAGCCCAGAGCAAGTAAACCCCCATTTTGCCAATTTTCTTGTGCTATAGTACATGAGAATTTTGGTGATCCAGAATTCCAGTTTGATTTTTGCCGAAAATTTACATGCACATTGGCTAAGACTTTATCTATGGAGTAAGTTAGTCACCACGGCAAAAACAATCCATTTTCAAGATTAAACAAGTCCAAAGCAGGTAAATCCTCATCTTGCCAATTTTCGTGTGCTATATAGTCCATATGATTTTTGGTGATCCGACATTCGACGTGATTTTTGTCGAAAATTTACATGAAAGTTTGTTAAGACCTTATCTAGGAGTCAGTTAGTCACCACGACAAAAATAACCCATTTTCAAAGTCAAACGAACCTAGAGTATGTAAACCCTCTATATTGTCAATTTTCGTGTGCTATAGTTTATCTTTTTTGGTGATTCAAAATTTCAGCGTCATTTTTGCCAAAAACTTATATGAACGTCCATTAAGACCTTAGTTATGGAGTCAGTTGGTCACCATGGTCAAAACGACCCATTTTAGAGGTAAAAGGAGCCCAGAGCAGGTAAACCCCATTTTGCCAATTTTCTTGTGCTATAGTACTTGTTGATTTTGGTGATCCAGAATTTCAATATGATTTTTGTCGAAAATTTACATGCACGTTCCATAAGACTTTATCTATGGAGTCAGTTAGTCACCACAGCAAAAACAATCCATTTTCAAAGTCAAACGAGCCTAGAGTAGGTAAACTTCCATCGTGCCAATATTCGTGTGCTATAGTCCATAGGATTTTTGGTGATCCGGCATTCGACGTGATTTTTGTCGAAAATTTACATGGAAGTTTGTTAAGACCTTATCTATATAGTCAGTAGTCACCACGGCAAAAACAACTCATTTTCAAGGTCAAACGAGCTCAGCGTATGCAAACCCTCTATATTGTCAATTTTCATGTGCTATAGTCCATCTTTTTTTGTGATTCGAAATTTCAATGTCATTTTTTCCAAAAACTTATATGAACAACGTCTATTAAGAACTTAGTTATGAATCAGTTGGTACCACGGTCAAAACGATCCATTTTTGAGGTCAAACGAGCTCAGAATAGGTAAACCTCCATTTTGCCAATTTTTCGTGTGCAATTATATATGTTTGATTTTCTAAATTTGATTGGTAGACTATATTAGCCTGAAATTTGGTTTGGTCAATATCAAAAACAATCTCGTGACCAATAATCCACACAACAAACGTCAATTACTGGCGCTTCGAAATCGTAAAATACGAATTTATGATTTTGGACATTCTTTGGCTTCAGATATTATCAGTCCACGCAAAACAGTCTATCTGCTATATTACTCACCATGACAAGCATCGTTTTATTTAATTTTCGATATTTCGAGTTATGAAACAGAAAATCATAATTTTGTGCATTTTGCTGATCCACCAAACCAACATGGTGACGAACAGTCAGCATGAAAAAGATGTTATTTTTGACGTTTCAAGATCATGAAACGTGAATTCATAATAATAGACACCTTGTGTCGATTGTTCATGCTGATTTACGAAACCCTTGTTCTTAATCGATGTCGTTCTAAATATGATTTTTTGGGGGAGACTATGCATAGTAACAGTTGCTACTCTCCATGTACAAATCTCACCAAACATATACATTCAATGGAATAGCTACTACCAACAGAGTTGAATCATCATTACCTGCTGCTTGGCCAAATTTTCTTCAAATGTTATTTTGCTTACCTTGGTGAAGAACGGTTACACTGATGAACCCAATTATGCACGAGGCCTGGGTTAGCTAAGTTTTTATTTTCTTATCCTACGCGACACGTAAATATCAAGGCAAGAGAATAGAGTTCACATAATCTCAACAAGGCAGCCTTTACGCCTGCTCTTAATGGGATGGAGAACTGAGATTACTCCAGAATCCCATACAACTACAGAAAGATGACGAAGTCAGACGAGAAACCAAAAAAAAAATTTACAATGAAATCATAACCTGAATAATGAACATAAATAAGAGTAACAATAATTAATTGGTGACAAACCTTACATTAGCCTACAGTTCAATCCCAATTGTAACCAAAGTACACTGTACACATCTACTGCATAAACTCACCAATCGATAGTTGGGGATCCTGGCTATTAGCTCTGGATTCCAGATTTTAATAACAAATCAATAGAGATCTCCCACAGTCATTCCGACACTGCAACTTCTTGGTCAACTCTCCAGTAGTTAGCATCATTGTACTCTTTTGTTCCTGCCCCACCATCATCTGTGCTCTCCTTTTCTGGTACCTTAGGAACAATGCTCCTTTTCAACGGAGCAGCTTCACCGACAATCCCTTCTTTAAGAGCATGTTCCATGGCCTTCTCGGTACCCTCCAATTCCACGCCAACAAATTCAACATCCTCTTCAAACAAAGAAGGAACAGTGGTTGCTTTCTGACTAGAATCAGATCCTGAACTTTTGCTAGAATCAGGAGATGAGACACCATTTGGAATAGATTCTCCACTACAACTAGTGGAATTAAGTGGTGTAGTTCCTGTTTCCCCTGGGTTGGCAAGATGGTCAGCAGAGTTGCTATGGTCTAAAAATGGGTTGACAGTGGATCCACCAACTTGAAAATTTGAGGCATCCCCCCATGCTACCCATTCAGGCATAGACCTGTCTCCAAAGGGGTCGTCACTCCCTGATGTCTCGAACGTCATGTCAGTTGTGGAGCCTGCTTTTTCATTCTGTTGATTAAAGTCCCCATCATTACCAGAATGGGCTATGCTGAACCCATTAAAGGGGTTCGAACTGGAGTTAGGTATTGTATTAGAATTTTTGCTCTCAGCCAATTCATCCTCCTCTCCAACTACCACTTCATCATCACTATTGCTGTTGCTACTATTTGACATTCCATTGAGGTTAATATCCTCCATCACATCAGCAGGTGAGGTGCTCATAGAAGCATCACCAATTCTATCATCTTGGAATGCGAACCAATTTGAATTTGTGAACAAACTGCTGCAAAAGTGGAGGATGGGAAAAGGAAACGTAGGCATTATACAAACAGTAGTGAGTCCTAACAGATAAAACTGAAAGATATTACGACTCTGAAAAGCCTAGACAACTTGTATAAACTATGACATCTTAGGTTGTTATACATCCGCCCGTAAGAGATGGATGTCCCTTGTCCTGACCTTTAGAAGTATTAAGAGTTCCAGTTAGTTGACCATTGTTTTTGGAAGACCCAAAGAAACGAAGAGCACACATTTACCATAGTCAAAAATTGGAAAGAACTACGTTTTTCCCTTTCGTCATCTGTATGCCTTCTCTATTCTAGAAGGATATGTGCTCAAGTGATCCGTGACCAAAAATAAACATGGAAATCAGAACTCACCTCCCCTGATCATCTGCCAACCTCAGGGATGATATCACAACTTCAGCAGATTCGTCATCAAAATAAACATCCTACAATGCCAAAACATAACACTGTGAGAAACACCACCAAGGCAAGTGTAACAAATGGCAAATGCAATAATGATCGATAATATATCCACAAGGAAGACTGGTTAATCAGGGATGTGAAAGTATTGACCTCATCATCTCGATCGAGAGCTCCACGCCCCTGGAAAATACAAGAAAGACCGTGAGTGAACTGACACTGAAAGTCGACCCCCCCCCCCAATTACCAAAGTTTGAGTTGGGGGATGCAGTACAAAAATGTTGATGAGCTTATATATTCCTCTTTCTTCCTTTCTACGCACGCAGAAGCCCACACTACCCAAATTTCACCTCCCAAAACGAAATAAAATTTACCTCTTCAGCATCATCATTATCATATATGGTGTAACGAAATGCTTGACTCAGATTATTCGCTAAAGCTGCTACATCATAATCTCTGTCATGAACGTCTTCCTCATCACTCTCCCTTGTTCTGTCGTGCAATGCAGTAGGTCGGCTGGCATACAAATAAAGGACATTAACATAGAACAGCAGTGTAGAAAAGGGATTACTAAGGAACTTAAAAAAATAACTTTTCCACCAAAAGGACGATTCAAATACACCTCCAATCATCTTAAACAGTAATTGAACCCATATTTATCCCCGAGAAATTCTGCAAGCCTCTCTTTGATAACTTCATTAATGAGTTACCCTCAGTTGGCTTCATCTAATAACAAGACATCTTGGAATACTTGATCACAACAAAAATAAAGTTTATTGTGACAGATTCTGGTCAACAAAAGCATGTCTTTCAGTTAATTCCTGGCTTGTCCCACCCACCACCATTTCCTCTTTTCCCAATTTTCCACTTGCTCCTCATGTTTGAAGATCCTAACATTGACAGGAAAGGTACTATGGACGGGAGTGCAGCTTGTTTGAACACCAACAACATGGTGAATGACTTGCTTGAGGTATCGGATACTTCAAACCTCACTTTGAGCATACTCTTTATTTAATTCTCCTAATTGTACTACAACTGTACAAGGGCACTGCCAACACATAAAAATTATAGCCCAAGAATGGTTCCAAGTAGTAGCTTCAATACAATAATAATCTAACTTTAGATCTCTGTCTTAGTATAATGCACACAAACATTATGAGAATTTCATTTTGGCAATAAAGTTGGCAGAAAAGAGGAAAAGAGATAGAACCTTACCCACAAGCCCAGCGGTAGACATTTTCTAATGTATTACGCTCCTGTAAGACAGTGGTATGCCAATCACTAAATTCCATATTCTTCTGGACGAGCAGCAAAACCAGTTAGAACAGAAAAGTCAGTATTAAGAGACAATACCAATATCAACAAAAGGTAGGCATGAGAGTAGTGAGCTCCAGCAATTTGAATATCAACAGGCACCTCAAAATAGACACCGCCCTAACAGAGCGTGATCATCTATTCGTGAAAAGGAAATTATTTGCCGAGAGATCATTCAAACCATTCTATTCGTATGCAGATCTGAACAAATATCGATGTACACTCCGATGTTGCAAAAAATGAACCAAATTCTTTTTTATTACAAAGGAGACCCGCAGCCGCTACCCTTTGGGTGCGCACAGGGTAAAACCCCCGCTCCTATGCAATAGCTCGCAAACCACATAGGAGAGGTAACCCTAAACCCGCACGAGGCAAGCCTGGTGCGACAAGCTCGACCCAGAAGGCAAACCCCTTGATTCCGCTGGCAAGGGGTTTTGAACTTGAGACCTCCAGGCTCCAACATGGAAGTCCCCAGCTCAAACCACTGGACCACCCCGAAGGGTAATGAACCAAGTTTTAGTGCCAATTTTTTAAAAAAAATTCTAGAGTGTGAAGGCATGTAACAGTTTGTTGAAATTATCCCATGAAGTTTCAAAAAAGAACATTATCTTAAAGGGGAACACGGTATATTTAACATTAAAGATTCAGTAATAATTACTCCTCATAAGAGAGAGACTCAGAAACTTAGGTTTTGTGAAGCATATCAAGCAACAAAATTATATCTGACAAACCTCGAGATGTGCTCGAATGCAGTTGTCGTTGTTTCCCAACTGAATAAGTTTGTTAGAAATCCTAGTAATATGCCCTATATTACCTACTCGGGGTGCTTGTTTTCCAGTAGCTGGTAAGGTGGGCTGCATCAGTTAAAAAAACACCATTAAATACTAGCACAAGTTATTACCAGCATTGATACTGCATAGTTCACATTAAACAGACTTATCCTTCAGAAGGGGAGAAAATTCGGGAGAACTTTGTTCGAATGTGAAGGGGGATAGTGCACAAAATCAAAAACCTCAAACAAAGGATTTCATTGCTTCACAAAGATTAACCTGATTTCCATCACCAGAAACTGTAGGCTGTTTATCTGTTTGGATAATTTTCCCAATCAAATTGCACTCCTCAAAAAGATGGTCAACGATTGTGTTGGTCTTACTTTCCAAGCATGAGTATATTATACTCTCCACATGATGATGTAATGCATTGTTATAAGGGTACCTATACAAAAATTAAGCAAATGGTAACAATGTTAATCGGAAGTTGGTTTTAGGAAAGATCAATAATAAGGATCTATGAACGTGAACATTAACATCTTACTCAAAAAATAGATTCAGGACCCTCTCAATTGTCCCAGAGCTGATCAATTCTCTCTCTGCAACTTCATTACCAGTCTTCAGTAGCACAGAAATGAATTCCACTACCTATAAGGGAGATAAAAATAAAAGTAAGATGGAAAGCTTAAAAGGCTAGGACAAGATTATCAACTCAATAGACCAGACACAAACTCCGCAGGCATTCAAGAACTGGTACTTATGCAAAGATACTATTCCAGGTAATAGAGCCTAAATGCCTAACAATTATATCCCAAATTTCCATCAGAATAACTAGCACAAGATCTATAACTCCTTTGCGACAGAGACATAAAACCATTTGATCTCTTAACAACAAATAGGAAACAGCATAATCGCTTTGCATATCTCCTGAGAGAACACCAGTCAAATAGTAAAGGAATAACGAAGGCCAGCTCATTCTGTTCCAAGTATAAAATCAAGACAAACCTTTAAACGATGCTTTCCTAGAGGCGGCCTGAGTTCTCCATATGTTGTTGGCAGAACCTTCTCATCAGAGGACACATTCAACAGCTCAAGCAAACCACCTGTACCACAAGTGATGTCAAAGTTGTTGAACTTTTCAAATGAGCAAGCAACAGATAAACAAATTTCATAACTGCAAGTTATATCTGCTTGTAACTTTTTTTCTTGTTATTGCCGGGTGGCAAGAGGGTATCACTTTGTATAGATGTTGCATTATGAACCCCCCCCCTCCAAAAAAAAAAACTGGTCTACAGTGGAGAACTTGAAATTGACCTTTTTCAATGTTAAACAAGTATCCAAATTAAAAACTGTACAATTCCACATAAGAGAACTTACTAAGTTTAGGAAGCATTGCATCGATAGTGTCTGGATTGACATGCACGGGAGACTCATAAATCTGCTGGTTCCGGAAAGAATACATCATGGATGATGGAATTGATCTTTTTGGATCCAGCAGAGAGATGCAGACAGACAGTGAATGGACAAGGGAAGATTTTGAAGGTGAGTCTTCAAGGGCATGACCAAATATCCTGGCTACAAAACTGCAAGCAGAGAAAGTTGTGAACTTAATGAATAAAAGTTACTATCTGCTGAAAAGATATGTCAAGACAGAGATCAACTTCCAAGGGAAATATCAACCCAAGATCCAACAAACCTTGGGCTTGATAGTTTGGTGGCCAAAGGGGATGGTGTGTTTCTGGTTATTGCACATAGTGATTCTGCTGCATTAGCATGTACTTCAGGAGAACACTGGACAAAGAAAAATAATACATCAAAAGAGTCTCGAGCATAAATCCTCATTGATTAAAACACAAAGTCACGTGCTCCGAAACAAACTTAGAAATATATTAACTATTCCCGAAAATAAGAATTTAAAAACGGAAAAAAAAAGAGAGTTCTCAGTCAAATCAATTGAGGTGGAGCAAAGAGGACATGCATCCATAACTGGAGAGAACTTATAATTCAGTGGTCTGCTAACAGGTAATTCCTATCAGCTAAGGAAAAAATTCTAGCTCCTGCTGCTCCTAACACCAGAAACTCACTAGACTCTTTGCAACATTAGATAACCAACAATTTAACATGTAAACCAGTTAAGCAAGTTTCGATGAATGATCTGTAAAGGCACTGCAAAGAAATAATAATAACAAGAAATACAAGAACAGATACCAACGGACAGGCGAAGCAGCGCAATCATATAATACTCTAGAAAAGATGCATTCAATATTAAAATGCTCTGTAAACATTTCCCCATGTGTATACATCCAACCACTATTAGCATAAAATCAGGTAGCTGCGTATCTTTTTACTTACAGAGGGACTCAATTTGTCCACGATCATTTCTAATAAATTGCTCTCAGTCAACCATTGCATCACATCCATAGTAGTGGGGTACATATGATCATCAGCTCCTACAAGTCGCACCAAAACCTTGAAAGGAAGGACTTGTTAGAGGAAATTATCCATATAACAATTTGACTATGTTAGTGATTGCATCAGATGGTAGAAGAAAAAACCAAGCAAACTAACCTCCATTATGGATGTGATACCAATCAAATCCACCATCTGTTGGAAAACATCATGATGGGCCTGTAACCAAAAAAATTAGAAGCAGGAACAAATACCAAGCCCTTCAACAGAAAAAGAGGAGAAATAAAAAAAAACGCATTTAAAACAACCATATACAGGTTGCAAAGACACATAATGCAACTTAATTCAACCATCTAAAGAAGATAAATTCCAAGAAGATTCAAGCCAAAGAGTGCAAGACACATTATGCAACTTCAGTACTAGACAATGTAGGGTTCTAGAACATAGGATGATTTGAAATTTTGGAAAATGAAGCAACAGCTTAAGCTCGCAATGGAACAGCGGAGCAAGGTCAAACAACATGTAAAAAAACTATTGGAAGGAAGGAAACACAAGGATTGTAACTTCATATATAGTGAAAGCATCCCAGGCTCCCCATTGTAGAAGCAAGAAGCACAATAAGAGGGAAAACGATGCACATCAATTAAAACTTTCAGACCTAATCAAATTTTGCAAAAAATTTGATGATGCATAAGAGAAAAGGCAGGATTGACCAAAGCTCCAGAGATCCTAAAGCTCTTTCATAGTCAACCAGATGGTAAGATAAGTAGTACAAGAAGAGATAATTGGCAAAAGCAGAGTGTTCTCTTTAGAAAGCAAAGAAGTGAAAATCTAAATATTTGGAATTGAGACAAGACTCTAACAGGGACAATATGAGGTATATATTTTAGGAAGACTATTCAAGATTGGGAATGGATCAAGTATGTTACAAAATAATATATATAATTACCCTATCGGAATGACAAGGGAAATAGGAAGATAAACAGAACTACAGAAGGGAAGCAATGTTATTATTTGAAATTGGCAGAAACGGGAGACTGAAAAAGTTCTGGAACATCAGTCTCCCAAATAAGTACCTTTCCTGTCTGTTGTGCAGCACAGGATGCTATTTAACCCGAAAATTGAAGGAATAGAAGAAGATTTTCTGTGATTTGGTGTTGCATGTGCAAATAATCGTATTGTTCGATATCTCGTGTGTGTTGCTGAGGACAGTGGAGGAAGCAATCTCGTGTTAGAGATTACATATGATCGACCAGGTAAAGAATTAGCATAATGGCAACATCACATCCTCTTCGGAGCATACGAACACATTAAGAGATCCTTCTAATTCCACTTGTATTTGCGGTATAACAAGATATTGCTATTAGTTTGTCGAACTTGATAGATGGCAGTGGATGACTCAACTACAGTTATTTTATACATGTTCTTTTTTACACTGACTTGGTGTTTATTGATGATATTTATTGTGTCTTAATTGATAATCTACCATAGACGAGCGATAAAATACATACTTCTTGATGAAAACATTACATCATTAACTACATGAAGAAGGTAAAGACAAAAACTTGTACTATTCATGACATGCAATGGGGATTACTAGGCAAACCTGAACATAATTCATAAGTGCAGCAGTCTTTCGCACCATAAGGCATATCACCACCTACAATTCAGCAAGAACTACATAAAGCAACTCCTTTTAGATCAAAAAGTAAAAATTTAAACAATGAAAACCAAGGTATTTTGCCCACAGAGCTTGTGGATGAATCAATTTTTATACCTTACTAAAATACCCAGCCAGCAGGGCACTATGGGGACGACTTGGCTCCAAAAATGAGAAGAGCAAATTCATTAGCTGCAGCAACACAGAGAGAGATTGAAACATCAGAGAGGAAGACCTTTACTTTTTGCTTAAAATATCATTACTCCATGTTGTGAATACAGTACCTCCTCGTCATCCACTAAAGTCTTAAGGATGACATCAATTTCACAAGTAAATATCTCACAGGCAATGAAAGGGAACCTAGAAGATGAAACGACATCAAAAGCAAGAAATCAATTGTTGATAAATGATTAAATTAAAGAAAACTACAGACACTTGCAAAAAGAAATACTGACATAACTGTTAAAACCAGGTCAACTCCTGTAGAAACTTACTTAAATGTCCGTTTGCTATCAGCATCCTCAGAAGGCTCTTCAACAATGTAGCGCAGTAACTGCTCAACCTGTGTTCTCTCCCTCAAACTGAAAATAGAAAATGATAACCATGTTTCAGTGAATCTGAAATTTTAAGCTGAACTAAAAACAGTTAGTCAGCAACTATACTCTCTCCTGGGCACAAGTCAAATTATAAACATCTAATTAAGTTAAAACTGGGAGAAATTTTACAAATTTATGAGACGACTGTTCAAAGCTTTGCACTCTTGGATTATTTCTTCTTCATCAAGAAGCTCTTCCAAAGTGAAATTTTCCTTGTCTAGCACTGCTTCAACCTAAAATCCCAAGGAAAGAAAAGATCATAAGCAACATCATTCACCAGGTTGGAAAGAAAGTCATCGGAAAAAACAAATAAACACATGTAGTGTTGAGGTGACGAATTCATTGAACAGTATTTACAGCGCAAGCTAGATGTACTCAATGTCACAATAAGAATACGCAACACCAGGTTACGCAAGAAAGAGAAGGGCATAAAGTATAATAAAACTACATTATTTAGTGATCCATCAAGCAGATGGATCTAACGGCTGCAATGAAGAATTGCCAATTCAAGAATTACTCCCAACATAAAAATTGTTATATATAGCACTTATCTTCACTTTGTTGACGTCTTCCCATTAAATTTTTTGGTATATTATGATTTAAGAGTTACCATCGTGATCTCAATTAATATGAAATTACTCGACAGTCCTAGATTATTTTAACCAAATTCCTTAAAACATATATGACGATTCTACTCACTTAATTCAATTTTGATCGGAAGGGGACCATATACAAATGAATTTAGCTAAGAACAATTATCATTCTTATTAACTAATTATGAAGAGCTACACTAAAATCAAAAATGAACTTAGCTCAAAACAGCCATCATTCTTAATAACTAATTATGAAGAGCTAAACAGAGTTAAACTACCACTAAAGGTAACAGAAAGAACACTAGAAAATACATAGTTGAAACACCACTAAAAACACTTCCATAATCTATAAATCATAGTCTGAAAACAGCATGTACACTATTTCGCCAATTCAAACACAGAAGAGCGAAATATGCTTTGAAAACGGAAACTGTACAAGCAAAACATCACAGAAGATCAAAATAACAAGGCCGGGAAACTTCTTTTTCAGCTCATTCATTTTGAACACTGCTCCCCAATTCAACATCACAGACACAGAAGTTCAAAATATACTTCGAAAACGCAAACTCTATAACAAAACATCACAGAAGATCAAAATAATTAAAATCGAGAAAATTCATTTTAGCTCATTCAATTTGAACACAGTTACACCAATTCATCATCACAGAAGTTAAAAATAATTGAGTCGTGAAATTCCTTCCTCGGCTCATACAATTTGAACACTGCTCCACCAATTCAAAATCACACAAGATCAAAAACATACTTGGAAAACACAAACTCTACAACCAAAATATCACAGAACATCAGAATAATTTAGTTGTACATAACTAGAACCTTCCAAAACATATTCGAA